GCAAGCTCCTCACTTACTTTGCTATGTGCACAAATGGCTGATCCCAAAAGTTTCCATGTACCACCCCGCCTGTCCATTCGCAGCATCCGTAGAATCTGAAGGAAGCGGAGGCTTCTGAGAGATGTAGCCAGAACATTGCCCTGGTTCCCAACAGCAACCACTGGCACTGAAGCAATCAGCACAAAGATATCTGCAAGGTGAAAAGAACAAAGCCTGCCAACAAAAGAGGCCCCATCACCTGCTTCTTAATCCCATCTGGTTGTGCGGCAAAATTTTCTAGGCAAGTTTTAAAGCTGCCTGAAAATGCATTCTCTTGCCAATTAAACAGATATCTGCACCTGCCACACAGTTGGCATCATGCACAGAACCCACCAGAAAGCCTTGTAATCTATTTACAGATTGATGCACTGGACTTGAGATACAGAGCTAGATTAAGGATGCACAGAAAGTGTCCAAATGCTGACAGAAAAACAACCTTAAATTCATCTGTCCCACAGGAACACTGTAGTGAACAGGTCAGCAGATAAGAAATTCAGTTTTTGATAGTGTCTCTAGTATTTTGTTCTTTTGGCTGAGTTTTCCCATAAAAATCTCGAAGCCAGTACTACTATTTTTTGTAAGCAACCACAGGACCAATTTGCTGATCAACTGAAGTTTGAAATGCAAATCACGGGTTCTTCTTGTCTTATTTATTTTTCTTTCTTTTCCTTGTTTCCCCTTTGCTTTTTGATCCTATGCATATACAAGAAAAAGGTGGTACCAAAAGGCTTCAAACATTCTCCAGGCACTCAGTCTTTAAATTGTCATCATATGGTATTTCCAGACAAAAAGAATGGCACCAGGTGGATTTCAGATTTATTCACTTTCAATCATTCTCAAAACAAACTTGTGTCAGGGCCAACCAAGAGATTACATTAATAAATCCAGTGGGATCTTTTCTGTTCTTTACCCAGGTATCAATGAAATTCATTCTCAGAAGTGAGAAGATACTTTTACTGAGAAGGCATGAGGCAGTAGCAATCCCACTTGCTCACACCATGCTCTACTGCCTTCACAATGCTAGCAGAAGTATAAGTATTTATACGACAGTAGCGCCCAAAGAAGCACTACTAAATTGAAGATATCACAGATGCACAAAGAAAATTTGTTCTAATTTTGTCTACCATCTAGACCCACAAGATGAACAAAAGGAGGGAGAGGGAAGAGTTCATATAACTGCAGCACCATGGCTCCCCAGAGTGCTTTGTGCCCTACAAATAAAGAATAAACAGCTAATGCTTGGCCTGAAGAGCATCAGAATAAATGAGGGAGTCCTGGAAACAGTGAATGAATGTGAATGTGTATGACAGGTGCTCAGGGCAGAGAGGGGTCCTAAATGTTGGCTGGTTGGTTCATAGACATGATGGGGAGTTTTAAGAGGGGATTCAAACATGAATAATGAGTAGTTTTATGACAGTTGTATGCAGTGTCTTCCAAGCCTGAAAGACAAAATGGGTGAAATCACAACGATACTTGCTTGCAAATACAGACCAATATTAGGAAGGTAAAACACAATATTTGAATATGAAAGAGGGCTGGGGAAGATGGTACAGTGTTGGGATCTGAAGTGGTTTGAAACTGAAAGCAGACAGAATATCTTTTGAGATGAGTTTGAGAAAAATTCAGTCGACTTGGGACAAGAAAAATGCATTTGAGGAGTAGAAGGATCCATTTATTCTCACTGATCAGCCACCCAAGTGTCTCTCGAATGGATCGTTATTGTCAGGTACTTCAAATAACTGCTCCAAGCATCACACAGCTCTTAGCACAAAGGGCAGATGTCATTTCAGTGCTCTTTGCACTGCCATTCACTGGTTCTTGGACATCCCCCCAAACTGGCTCAGAAGGAAAAGGTCATAATGGGGAAGCCAGTAGTAGAGAGCATGTGCTTACCCAGCATGCACAAAGGTTTCCTTGCAAATTTGAGTCTCCCCCTCCATCCCTTGTAGCGACAGCAACACCCAGCAGCCCAGATTCTTAAGGCAAACTCCGCTCCAAAGATGAAAATGGCAAAAGTTTCCTGTATCAACGACATAAACTACATTGTTAGACTTGGAATAAGTTTAATAGTAATTCTGGACACATGGACACAGCTGAAGGAAACAGTTGAAGTGTAAGTGCTGGGGTATGTGCATGAGAAAGAAAGAGAGGAAAAAAAGTGGAGAGGAGACTGTAGGTTGATGAAAGAGGAAAGGCAAAGAGGGACATAGCTTTACAGCCTGCTAAAGACTCTGCAGAAATAATGTGCCCCTGCTGTTGGGTAAATGTGAAGTGCTTACCCTGCCTTGACAGAAGAGCAATTACTTAACAAAAAGACTTCCTATTTCACACAAAATGAGAAGACATATGTGAGAGTTGACTGCAAAGTCCCTAGTGCATGTATGCCCACACCCGGGGTTACCCACTACCAGCTTGTTCATGCAGCCATACTTAGAGACAGGGGTGGGACACAGTATATTAATATGGTCATAAATTTAAGGCAACGATAAAGCAATGTATAAGACAAATTTAAGGCATATATTATCCCCTTAAATTTTTGGTGCATGGAAGAAAGAAATTTTCCACCTTGCTCAAGAACTCTTCTAAGTATCGGGAGGGAATGGGGAAGAAAGTTTCTCTGAGGTGTTCAGTGGAGACGGGTCAAGGGCAGCATGGGGCACACAGTTACTTTTCCTCATTATGAATAGCTGGCAAGGAAGAAAGGTAGATTTTTCCTAATTCTTATACCCACAGCTGCTAGGCACTTCTGAAAACCACTGAGAGCCACATAAAAGCAAACACAGGAAAAGGAAAAATAACCTCAAGCTTTTTCAAATGTGAAAAGATGTGTCTAAACAGGGTAACGGGGACCAAAATTGAGTTTCACATTCCCTAGGGGATGAGGGTGTTTTCATACAGGTGCTTTTTGAGAAGAAACATGCAAGGGGAATTCAACTTTCATTCCTTTTGGCATTTAGTTCTTGCTTGGATCTACTTGTCTGTAGAGGTACAAAGGGAAATAGAAACTGAAATCCCAGATCTACTCTGGCTGTGCAGTTTCCTTAGGGATGCTTTTCTACATGGCCAGGTTAAGTGAGAGGTTTTGTTCTCCATTTCACAATAGCTATAGGAGCAGATTAAGTTCTTTTTCAGATTCATTTGCATAAAATGATGAATATGTCATGTTTGTACTTAGAGAGAAGGGTTTTTTTCCTGTTTTTTTATTCTTCTGTCAAATGGGAGGCCTACAGAAATAGTCTGGAGCATGAACTTCAGCATTTATAAAATAAGTATGCTGGAAACAGAGAAAGGAATATATTTGTTGCAAGTAGATTTTCCCTCATGGTTAGTCATCAGAGGCACTGCTTGCAACAATTTCAGTTATGCTGCTATTAGGCACAAGCATGAGTCTAATTCTGATGGCATCCCTTGAAAGAAATACTGGGATCGGTAGAATACTGTAGAATTAATCAAAATTGTTGAAAGATCCCCCAGAAAAGACTTTTCAAATGTGCTCAGGTCTGGCATGGTCAATAAGAAAATTATTGATACTACTTTGGGGCTGTTCAGCCTGGAGAAGAGAAGGCTTAGGGGAGATCTTATAGCGACCTTCCAATGCCTGAAGGGGGCCTACATGAGGAGGAGGGACTTTTTACAAGGGCAGGGAGTGATAGAACAAGGGGTAATGGCTTTAAACTGAAAGAGGGTAGATTTAGATTAGAAATTAGGAAGGAATTTTTTCCTGTGAGGGTGTTCAGATACTGGAACAGGTTGCCCAGAGAAGCTGTGGATGCCCCCTCCTTGGAAGCTTTCAAGGCCAGGTTGGATGAGGCTTTGATCAACCTCGTCTAGAGGAAAGTGTCCCTGCTGATGGCAGGGGGGTTGGAACCAGATGATCTTTAAGGTCCCCTCCAACTCAAACCATTCTATGATTCTATGATTCAATGGGAGAACTGTTAGGCAAATGCTGAAAAGCCATTTTTTAAAAGCATCAGGATAGTATTTTTCCTCTCTCCTTACTTCCCTTTTACTCAGTCAATGTTGACAATGCACCAGGAACTTTCCAACATGTAAGTGTATGGCCACTGCTCCAGAACCGACAGAAGAAATCTTACTGCATACAGAGTTGGGAGTAAGTTTCCCTCTGCTGGTGGGGCTGATTTCAATTCAAGGACATGACCATGGTGATGCAGCAGCCAGTCTACTTACCAGCAAGAGGAGCCAGTCTCCTGAAACAGTTTCATACTCCTTGAAAGTTGTCAGGACAGCTAAGATCAAACACCCCAGTACAATCAGAAACCTGGAATGAAATAAAAGGAAAAACCACAGCATTGTTACCCCTCTCTGTATTCACACTGGAGATGTTGCCTATAAAACCTGGGTGGAGACCTCCAGGGGATGGCTGCTTTAATTGGTGAGCAGTGAGGTGGGCTTTCATGAAGATCAAGCATTCTCAACCTGGACAAGGTGGGCCTGGCAGTCAAGAAATCATGGCAAGATCCCAAATCAGAATGGTCCTAGGATACGTATGCATTAATTAATTCATTTGCATTCCTCATGAAGGAAATGGATGATACTGCATTTTGGGAAGGGACTATATGGTACTTCAGAGGATTGTAATGCTCAGGAGGTCTGTTCCAAGTGCTGTGCTGTGTGCTTCACAAAATGGTACTGCAGTTACAGTGGAATAAATCTATTTGGCACATCTTGAGACCTGAGAAACAGTAAACGCTTCAATGCAATGCAGCACCAGGACAAACGCTCCCTTGAAAACTGCACTGCATTTATTTTTTTATTTCCTTTTTTTTTTTGCACTTATTTCAATGCAGATGAAAAGATAAAAAGGTTTGAAAAAAAAACCCCAACAAACAATGGAGAGAGTAAATTTCTGCTCTCCAATAAATGAACTGCTAGATAAAACACTGCTCCTGTGCTATCGTCTGCCTGTGAGGCTCCGGAACACAGATATTTGACAGAAAATTTAACTCCCATTGCTGGTAAATCCAATTCAGTCCCATCTAAAGTCACATTGATCTGCTTTGTAAAACTATTCCCAGGTTCAAGCTATTCAAAATCTTTTATACATGAAGAAGTAAGAAAAATCAAGGGAGTCTTTAAGTGATTACTGTGAAGCAGAGTGGGGGAAGCTCATATTCTAGTACTTCATGTATCCAGATCACGGGTACTTTATTGTGCTCCCAAAACCTGATCCACAGGAATAGAGGGGCAGGTAGCCATGGAAATATTTCAGAGCTTAGTGAATAAATTGAAAGGACATCTTCATAAAAGCTCTGGATCCCTTGCTTTCATAGCTAGGGTACATCAAAGAAATGATAGACATTAGGTACTGAAATAATCCAGGGAAAAAAGCTTGTTAAGAATCAAACTGTGTTTAGTGTGTACTACCTGTTTTGAATTTCAATCTGATACCTAAAGTGTGACTTAATTTCTTGCTGAATAGAACTCCACTTTCTTTCACTAGGTGAAATGAGCAGCAAGCAAGGACCATGGGGAAGCAAGGCTCATCTCAGAGACATGTTCGCTAACCTGTCTTGGGGTTTTGTTTCCTTCATGTATAGGGAAACCTAGGGATAATTCTCTTCTATTCTGAGAATTTGCAACATTTTTGCAGCTGGGGTAAAAGAAGAGATGTGAGCTCCAGATAGCTCCTGCTGCCTTTGGGAATTAATTTCCTCCAAATGGCATCAACAAGCACCCTTCATACAAGGAACAGGCAACAGTGAAACACTTCACAGCAAACCCTGAGGATTACTTTGCTGTGCTTTTCTAACTTTAGCTATTCAGACTGAAGTTTCCTATGCCAGGAAAATTTCAGATCAGCCATTTTGAGCAATGTTAGAACAGAAATAATGTTTGCTCATGCTAAATAATTCTGGATTTCTTTGACGAGTTTCACCTTTCCCCACTCACCAGCCACGCTCTAGAGCAAGGGTTATATGGTTGGCAGGAAACAGCCTTTGGGTCCAGAATATATCTTTTGCCATCTACCTATAACCACACTGCTGCTGCTCAAGGCATTCAGCAGTTAACTGAGCAATTCTGTGATGTCCCTGCCATGCCCGCAAACTTGCTTTGTCACACCTTACCTTGCTGTTACAAAGCTCACTGACTTCCCAAGACCCATGATCCAGCTATCCTGCACCTCTGTGAGCAAACTGGTGTGAACTCAACCAAGAAAGCATGATTCCTTCCATTTGTTATAAACCACTTATGATCTGTCACATTACAGCCATTGCAGTGGTACCATCACTAATTCTCCATTCAAAGCCTTGAGCTATTTGATACTTTCTATTACAATGATTTTTTTTATACCATGTGAAAATTCAGTTACCCATCAACTCACAAGTACCACTTAAGTGATTTAATGAGAAGTGAAACACACTGAAAATAGTCTGAGGAAATTACATCATCAGCTACTTAAGCTAAAGGCGTAAAGTGACAATATCATTCAACAGAACAGCACTGTCAATTAAAGATGATGTGCAGATTTTTGTCGAAGAGGAAGAAAGAAGTTACGTTGGTAGTTAAATTGTCATCTTTTGCCTAAAACTGCCTGCGGTTTTGCCACTAGAGGGGACCGGTGCTCCATAGAGCATGGGGATACTGCTCTCGTTCCTGTTTTCCTTCCCCATGAAGCAAACACGATGCAGGGGATGTTCAGGTAATCACACCCATGTATTTGATCTGCAAGAAAAGGATTCGCACAGCATTGAAAAAACTATTCCTTAGTCACTAAAACACCCAAATATGTGCATGAAGGGACAAGGGGTGCTACTTGCTCAATCGTTCTGTGCAGCACAGCCCATGCATCAAGCCCCACTGCTCCAAGTGAGAGCCCAGCTCGGAAAACAACAGATCATGTAGGGCAAATAAAAGTAAAAACAGGCCTCGGCTCTACAGATCATGTAGGGCAAATAAAAGTAAAAACAGGGTGGGATGGTGAGACTGCAGATCACAAGTCACCATAAATAATTTTGAGCGTGACTCCCAGCAAGAGATTTGGTCTGAACTGAAGTGTGTGAATGCAGCCCAGAAGAGTGCCCCGGAGCTGCTGAGCAAGAACCAAAACCACACAGCCCACAAAGCCAGACTCCTTCTCCTTCCTGCAGTACTCTGCAAGTGTAGGGGTGAAAAATCTGTGTTGGGACACATAACCACAATGCATCTTGGAAGGCTCAGCTATCCTCCTACCACAGCACTTCCTAAGGATACATCCACTGTGAGTTAATCAAATCACACCTCAGCAATCCTCCCTTAGCATCTGAAATGATGAGCATGTTCAGAGCACTTTATGAATTTTAATCTCCATTGATGCTATGCAGCCCACTGATTTCCCTGCAGCCTCTTCTGTTTTGGATCTTGGTATTTATGAAGCCTGCAAGTCTTCTTATGTTCTCTTTCTATGGAAGGTGCTACATAATGTCATGGTTTTTTTCATCAATCCCCCTTCCTCAGCAAAGATAATAACAAAGTACATCTTCACCTTGCTGCTTACACCCATATTGTGGGCGTATGTACCACCTATGCCTGTATTGTGGCCTTGAGAACGTAAAGACTCTAACTTGCTTGCCAGTTACTGAGTCTATATTGTCCTATGTCAACAGGACAAGAGCTGCATCTTTATAATCTAATTGAATCTTTTAGAGGCAGCAGGGTGGGTCCAATCGTTGAGTTTGACTATAAAATCATAACAGGCAAATCACAGGGAAAGAAACTGCTAAAATCACAGGGGGTGAGCAGAGAAGAGGCTAACACTGATCTGAGGAATCAAGGGGCAGAGAGGGAGAAAGTCTCAAATTTACTCACAGTTATAATGATACTATCTGTGGGACATAGAAGACCGAGGGTTAGAAGAAAAAAATACAGTAAAAGTCAAGGTTTAGTACTGGAAATTGAGTCCTATTAAGCCTGTTTCCTCTTGAACAATGTTTCAGCAGGTGGCAGTCCAGACTTCAAGACTGTAAATCAAAAATGTTAAATGAGGATCTGAATTTGGTTCTTCAGTTTTTAGAATCATCCTTGCTATCATTTTACATCATTTTTCACAACCCATTATATTGTACTTATCTGCAGTATTATGACTAAAATTCTGATTAGTTTGCTGTATGTATAAGTTCCAGAGCACCAAATGGCAGCGTTCTTTTGTCACTGTCACAACTAATATACTATTCTAGTAAATACATGTTCCTGTTATTGGAATCACATGTTTAACACTCATATTTTCTAATCACACTATTTTGGTGTTTTAAAGACAGTATTACAAAAACAATATATATTTTTCCCAGAAAAGAAACAATTTATGACTATGCTAGACCATGAATCTATATTTCTTGGATGAACATCACAGACTCTTTTGTTTGATAATTTTTTTCTTTTAATATTCCACATTCTTTGAGTTTTTCTTCTATATCTGCTTTCATTTGAAACCAATATAATGAAGGTCTATCTGAGAACTTTTATATTTTTTCCATATACAGGTGCTCATCATGTATCTTGTTCAGCATCTCTTTCTCCAAAATTTTAGGAGCTGATCATGTAGCAATTTGCCTACAGTCTATTCCAAAATATAGCAGTCTTTTTGGAGCTGTTATGAGGACTGGGTACATCATAGGCAGGCCAAACAGTATTTGCATATGGCATAATTTTGGTGAATTTTTGTGCTGTGTGACAAAATGTTAAGTCTCAATTAGGCTTACAGTCAACAGAAAGGAACACATGCTTCTAGCGTACAACTCATGTTGTTCTAAAGTAGATGGCTCAAGCTGGTCAGAAAGCACCTACAGAGACATTTTCTTCTCTGTAACTGTAAGAAAAAACTCTAGTGACTAGCTCCTATGAAGAAGTTTACTGTGTAAATAAGCTGAATGCCACCCCTTATGTTCAGTCCTGTTTTTGATAAAATTACAAACACCACCTTTTAGTAATGTTCATATATTTTTACTGATGCAAGAATTAGTCTACCACCCATACCAGTCCACTTCTTATATGACCAGGTTTCTCTGAAATCCCTTGCTGTAAATGTAGGTCTCACATCTATATGTAGTCAAGGATCCTGCTTGCAAAATAGTAACCCAGGCTCTGGAAAGTAAAATAGTAACCCAGGAAAGTCTCTTGAACAGCTACCAGAAAGAAATCTCCTCCAGTGCAAGAGCGCATAGACTTGTATTGGCTGTCACATCTTCAATACCATTTCTTGCAAGCCATTGGAATTTCCTCTGTCTCCAAATGTTCGTGTGCATCTGAGACTTTTCTGCTTTGCTCATTTGGTCTTTTCTTCTTTTCCCTTAAAACTTATGTACTAGTTTCAGTAC